CAGTTTCTATTCTTTGTTCCTGGTTTATTTTTTTTTTTACTTTGAACTAACACTTTTTTTTTTGTAGGTTTTTGCTTCATTGGAATAGTACTTGAGAATTTGAACCTTGGTGAAGAACTAGAAATTATCAAATTATAAGTATATTTTCTATTCTTTTTCTTAGCTCCTTTTTTCTTTAAAATAGGAACTAACACTTCTTCTCTTTTGTAAGTTTTCACTTCATTAATAGCTAGAATATGAAATAAGCATATGTAAGCAAAGGTTTTCATTCTCTTGTTCTTCTTTTCTTTGAGATAGAAACTAATACCTTTTCTTTTGTAGGTTTTTGCATTGTTGAAATGGTTGTAATAAGAAATAGGCCTTGAAGATTTGGTGTCAGGTTTGTTTTTTTGTTTTTTTTAAAACTATTTCTTTTCATTTATAGGTTTGAATACAAGGGTACTTGATTTTATCTTTTTTTTTAGGTTCTTATATTTCAACAAATAGGACGAAAGATGTGTGTACTATTTATTAGATCATAATGCAATCATTATGTAGAATGATGGATGTTCTATAGAATAGGTAGGCAATATAAGAAATAAACTTCACTAATGATTAGTAATTATTAATTTTTTAATATATTCAGCTAAGTTTGCCTATCTCTTCTATAGAACATCCATGTAATGTTGTATATATATAGTTGTGATAATGCGATATATTATTAGAGAATTTTTTATTATATAATGATATAATTTTTGAATATTTATTTTAATTAAATTAAATAAAATAAAAATAAAAAATGCAAATATTTATTTAATGCTATTCATTTAATACTCAAATTTATTAAAAAAAAAAAGATTAGTTTATATTATACAAATCTACACTACAATGTATTCTTCTAAATATTGATTATAACTAGAGATGCCAACACTAATTATAACATAATTATATTACATAACTTGTAAGCTAATTCCCTTATATTTATACTTATGAAGCCTAAAATTCATACTAGTAAAGTCTAAAAAAGAAATATTGCTATATTTATCATAGAAAAAATCTTATAGCTTATGCTGTCTTGAAACTCTTGACACCATTCTGAGAACTTTTATTGTTGCCTATATTGATAAGATTTGAAGAAGAAAAAATATTAGTAAAAGATTAGAACAAAAAGAACAACTCAAAACTTATTTAACGTCTAGTTCCTAGTCTACTATTCTATAAAGATTCTATCTTATAAGAGAAAATATTAGTGACTATACTATTTTGCATTCTGACCTTCTGCTGAAGCAAAGATCTACAAAAGAAAAGGTATTAGTTCCTATTTCAAAAAAAAATAAATAAATAAATGAACCTAAAACAAAGAATAGAAACTGGTACTTATCATTATTCCAGTTTTATAGTTTTTTTCTTAGATTCAAATCTTCAGGTACTAAATTTCATGTTCTAACTATTCCAACAAAGCAAAGACCTACAAAAGAGAAGAAAATATTAGTTCCTATTTTAAAAAAAAGAAGAACAAGAAAATGGAAACTGGTATTTATTGTTTATCTTAGTTTCTCATCTAGATCTGAACTTTCAAGTACCCATTTTTTGTTTTAACTATTCCAACAAAACAAAGACCTACAAAAGAGAAAAAAATGTTAGTTTCTATTGTGAAAAAAAGGAGAACAAGAAAATGGAAAACTA